GGTTTGCAGCAACTTGGATAACACCCAAGTGCCCCCGCATTGGTTGTGAATAATACACAGATCAACCATTTTGCTGGTGTCAAGATGGCTGGCTGCTGCAGAGAGATGTCCTGGCTTTTTGATGAATGCCTACTATGGGTGCATCAATACATCACTTGGGTATTGTTCCCAATGCAATTAACAGAGATGTCAACTGTATGGGGGGGGGGAGGGAGGGGGTTTCATAACGACATGAAAGCGTGCAGTGCTTAATAAGTTGTTTAAACCAGCTATATCTTGAGTCCCTACACGATTTTTCCTCTCTAATTAGGCGGGTCTTTCAAGCTTTCCCACGCAGGCAAAAAAGAAAAATGGGCAGAGGCCTAACCCTGCATTAGCTCAGCAGTCGTAACTTTTGCCCGAGTTGGCTGCTTTTCTTCTTTCTTCCTTTCATTGACATTTGCCGTCGAGCTTCAACTGGCGTTCCCTGCCCATCTCCCACAGGCGGGAGGGGGAGCACCAGCGCCCATTCATCCTTTCGGCGATTTACGAAGCCGGTCCCGCCCAGGCGGAAGACGATCAGCCTGGCAGTGGCACTCCCCTTTGCAAAGGTCCCCCGTCTGCTAGCGATGCCCTTTTCTGGATCGGGGACTCGCCCCGCTGCCCAGAGCGGATACAGGGGGCGAGAAAGCGGCCAAGGGCAGGCGGCGCCGCGGTCCCCAGTGGGTGTCGCTGGTCCTCTCTGCAGCGCAGGCATGGAGAGCAGCTCGCCGTGGGTTCAAGAGAGGCGGCCACCCCCTCGCCCTGCGCGATTCGACGCTTAGCGATCTGAGGGACTTTTTCCACCCACCGATTGCACGCACACACACACGCACCCGCCCCATTTAAACGCTAACTTGGCTTTGCCGGCCAGAGGGCAGATTGGACGCCCCTGTGTCCCTCGATCTGTTTGCTCAGGAGAAAGGCTGGATTTTTTTTTTTTTTAAGGGACGCTGTGTCCTTTTTGCCTTTGATGCGAGGCGGTTCGAGATAAGCGAGATTCGGATACTGCATGTAATTGCTACTCGTGTGCGATTTCCTAAAATCTGCAGCTGGATCTAGGGTCTAAAGTCTGTCGCTCTGTTTGCCTTATATGGCTCTGTCCGAACTTGCCCTGCCCGTTTCCTTTCCCTTCAGGGCAGGAGAAAAAATGCCTTTATAAGGGCCGGGGACAGCGGGGGTGGGGGAGAGGAAGAGGAGGAGGAGATCTCGCCGTCGCCTTCTTTTGCAGCACAAAGGATTTCCACTTCTCCTTCCGCGTCTTGTACTCGATCACCTGCTAGACCATCATTTGAATGTCTGCAGCCCCCGCCTACATTCCTCAAGCTAGAGAAGCCAATCGGCACGCCCGGCTTGCCTTAAATCCTAAATCGGCTAGGTTCTCCCCCCATCCCACTTTCCCCGATCAAGTGTTTGTAACCTTTTCCCAGAAAGATAGGAAGGTGAACAGTAAGCAGTAACAGAGTTGGAAGGTACCTTGGAGGTCATCTAGTCCAACCCCCTGCTCAGGCAGGAGACCTGTACTAGGGATTCGAACCGCTGACCTTTCTGATTGATAAGCTCGGTGTCTTAGCACTGAGCCACTTTAGCAACCTTCTCGTTGGGCCCAATAGAAGCATTGCCCCCAATATGACTTTTGAATGAGACTAAAGGACAATGAATTATTCCACATATTCATTCTCTTTCCCTCCCTCTTGCTCTTTCTCTCTCAAAAGTGGCAGCTGCATTGTAAGGCAGGTGGTTTTTTTCCTGGCTCCAGGGACCGCTTTGCTTACTTGCCTGAATTATTGTCAGGTACTTGAGAGAGGCCATTTTATTCCCCATGATGGAGCCTTGTTATGGGACCCTGTGGAAAACTTAAATGGCAGCTCTCGCAGGAGCACAGCTGCCCTCCAGATGAAATGCTGGCACCAAGACACCACACAGTGGAGGGGTTTTCTGCCCGTTTGTGTGCAATCCTGCATCCCTCTGTAGCTAATTGTAGTTTAAAACCTGCTACTGCATGTGAGCTCACACAAAATGGCTAATTCTCAGTTCAGAATGCCATGTAGACCCAGAACATTCACTTTACTGGGTATCCAGTGGGTAGGCCAAATAAATCCAGGCTTGAGTTTAAGGGATAGAGTGGCTCTTAAAATGCCCAGTATATGAAATGTGTTGAGTAAACTGTGCCAACTGAATAGTCCAGTTGGGTCAGTGTCCTGGGAAGCACAGGCCACAGGGGGCTGTGCTGCTGTTTGTGCTCCAGATCATACCTCCATCTGTGCCCTGACTTCATAGTATCTGCGTAAACTGCCGTGGGTATTTTTCTCTTCTTCTCTGTATAAACATGTGTACATGCACTGAGGTGACTCGTACAATAAATGCTTTGGCTAGGTATTCAGGAGCTCCTTCTCAGTTCCATTAGAACAAGATCTGGCTCATAATAATGCCAGCACAAAGCATGGCCTAGACTGGGTTAAATGTTTACACAGAAGGTGTTGTTGCTTTACACTGTAAGCTTATAAATCAGGTGTGTAAGAAAGCCTTCAAATAGAAACAAAGAACCTCCATGAATTGTACAGATAGTCCTTGCTTATTGCCCACTTGGAAGTTACCATGGAAATAATAAGATTCCAGTTGAAAAAATAATGTTATGACTAATTTATGACCATTTATGACCTTCATAGTGTTCCTCGGTCACAATGTTGCCATTAAAGGCAGTATGCACTGCCCTTTGCATGACCTGTGTTTTATTTCTTTTCTTCTCCTTTGCAAAACAGTGATATTGGAGAGGAAGGGATTTCAAAAGAATAAACTGTTTTGTTCTTTCATACATTGAAAGCAATGTGATCACCCTGGCAGCCTGGAGCTAGCAGCCACAAGTGTGCTAGGCAAACAGCTTACACTATTCTCTTGAAATCTCTTTCTCTCCAATCTCTCTTATGAGGAGAGAGGAGAAATAAAGCAAGTGATTTGATCTTTCTCTTGCCTGAAGAGCAGCGAGATGGGACAGGAAGAGAGTTCATTCTTCTATATATTGAAAACAATAGAACGTGCTGGCAGCAGGAAAAGATTAGGCAAAGGAAAAACTACCTACAAAAAACATTTGGGTTTTTTTCTCCTCATTCTCCTCACAATGTGGCGAGATTGGAGAGAGATTTCAAGAGAGTACTGTAAGCTGTTTGCGTAGTGTTCCTGCCCAAAGCTGTGCTGTAATCGCATTGCTTTCTATGTGTACAAGAAAGTAAGCAGGTACTGGAGCATTCCAAAGGGCAAGAGAATGGTTAGGAGGCAAGCAACAGGTGAAGTTGTAACTATTCTCTTTTATGGATCTGCATCTTTTTATACACCACTGTAATTTTCTTCATCTTTATTGCAGTTTAATTTTTCTGGTTTTGAGCTGATGAGTTTCTAATGACTCTAAGTTGAAGAAGTAAATACTAGTCTCATTCTCAGATGCAAGTACGCTTTTGGACAGTACCTTTTGGGCAACAAAATAAAAAGAAAATCTGAAATACTCATTTGTTTAGTATCTACACTCCTGCCTGTTTGTTGCCTTTGGATAACGAGAGTCTCTCCATTTCCAGTAGAGGGTGGGGCATGGTAGAAAGGCTTCCACTGCAGTGGTGGGATTCAATATTTTTTTACTACTGGTTCGGTGGGTGTGGCTTGGTGGGTGTGGCGTGGCTTTTGTGTGGCATGGCTTGGTGGGCGTGGCAGGGGAAGGATACTGTAAAATCTCCATTCCTACCCCATTCCAGGGGAAGGTTACTGCAAAATCCCCATTTCCTCCTGATCAGCAGGGACTCGGGAGGCAGAGAATAGATGGGGGCAGGGTCAGTCAGAAGTGGTATTTACCGGTTCTCTGAACTACTCAAAATTTCCACTACTGGTTCTCCAGAACTGGTTAGAACTTGCTGAATACCACTTCTGTTTTACTGGAAGACTTCTGTTTTTGCCTGCTGCACCACATTAGCAATAGTGTTGCTTTACAATTGCTATGCATTACTTTCAGAGTAAAAATAGAGAAAAGGGGTGCAAAAAAAAAAAAAAAGACAGAAGGCTGTGAATTCTGAAACAATGCAAAAGTTCCAGCTACAACTCACTCAGCCTCCGTTCTCCTGCTAAAGGCCTTTGCTTTTTCCAATGCTGTGGAAGCAGACCCATTCCATCAGGCAGGAGAAACTAGGGGAGCCAACCATGTCTGTAGAGATCTCATAGACAATGGTGTTGCATGACAGCTGTTGGGACAGGAAACTCCATTGAACCAGCATCCTTCCTTTTCAGAATATTTGCGGAAGGGATGTCGGATATGGAAGGAGAGCAAAGTAGAAGAGAGGCTGCTTCAATAACTGGACAGCCCTGGGCATTGTGAAAATTTCCTGAAGAGCAACTGTAAAATTAATCCTAACTCAGGCAAGAATTCCACAGCCCCAGACCCCCATTCTTCCTATAAAAAAGCTCATCCATCACTAATTTTCCTTCCTTTAAATCTTAGTCGATCTTTTGCAAGCCTGCCCAAAATTCAATCTACTCTCCTTCTTGTCTTACCCCAGGATTTTATTTTATTATTAAAAAGCTTGCAACAGCTGGACCATCTCATTCTCCTCCTGCCAGGCATTTCTGAGTGTATCAGCTTCTAAACTATATCTCCGGCATCTAGAGTAGAAAATACATTACATTTTATGCATTTATTGCCTTTATTTCATCAGATGTGAATCTCACTTTTTATAACATCAGCTCAAAGCGGTATACATAGTTTGTGCGCTCTCTCTCTCCCCCTCCATTTCTCCTCACAATACCACCCTGTGATATTTGGGCTGAGAGAACAGCCACACACCACCAAATTCCTTCCATGTTTGGGCTACAACCTCTTGAGTCGGGATAGTTAATGTGGGAAGGGCTTGATTCAAAAGAGCTGTTCCTAGAAACAAAGGTAATCTGGAAATACAGAATATATTAAACATATTGCAGGCCTTGACTGAAACTGCCAAGAGCAGAGAATATAGGCATGTCCTGGGTCTATTGCTACTTAGCTTTAAAATACCAGATTTTAAGGAGCAGATAAATACCCAAGCCTTTATTGTGTTGGGAATTGGGAGCACCCCTAACATATGTGTCTTCAGTTATTGCATCCAGCTAGCTGACTTTCCACATTTGCAATGAATCCTGAAACTGTCGTGTCTCCTTTGTTTTGCATACCCATGTTTCCTGGAACATTGACATACCTACATTGGATGTCTTGTAAGGTATGACACCTCTGGAGGAAAAAAACAAGGATGCCCTAGGGAAACTGATAGGGAAATACAACCTCTGCGACTTAGTCAGGCACAGCACAGTAACCTCCTTCTAGGAGTCTTACTAGTGTGTCACTTCTAAACTTAGGCAAGAAAGACCAAAATAAAAATAAAAATACCCCTGGGTGAAGAGGTTCCTCTATCCGGAGCCATCTTTTTCCTTGCAGGATATGGAAGCGTAAGGCCCCTCAAGTCCAGGTGCCAGAACTGACCTTCCCCTCTCACATGCCACCCAAGTGTCCAGGCTTGGGCACCAGGCTGGGCTCTGGAGCATCTCAAGCCTTGTGGGAGGGGCTCAGTACTCCCAAAATGTCGCACAGTTTAGGGTATCAGCATCAGCCCGCAGGGTTCCAGCTGGGTCTCCTCGTAGGTATTTGCCATTCTTCCCTTTAATGGCCACCTGGCTGCACTCACGGAACTCAAAGAAGAAGTCCTCAGAAGTCTCGCCATCGCTGCACACGGTGCCATTGCTAGCCACGTACCAGAACCTGTCATTGAGGCCTAGGAGCACCAAAGAGGCACAAGTCATTGAAAGGCGCATACAATGGAGCCACTTGTCTTTATTAATTCTAAACCTTTGCTTGGATATTTGCCTGATAGCGTGTTTCCCCAAAAATAAGACAGGGTCTTATTTTCTTTTGGCCCCTGAAATACGCACTTGGCCTTATTTTGGGGAAGGCCCTATTATTTTTGAGGTGCAGGAGGCAGCGAGCGTGGTCACCTCATGGCTGCTGTTGTGTTACAATATTTTCTGGGAGGGCTTATTTTCGGGGGAGGCCTTATTTTAACACATGCACTCAAAAGCCCGATTGGGCTTATTATCCAGGGAGGTCTTATTTTCAGGGAAACAGGGTAGTTTTTCTTATAGGCAAGCCAGAATCCACAATGGACCAGGATGTTCAAACTCTGTAAAGGGATGATTGAAATATGAAAATGAGCACTAGTGCCAGGATGATGAGGTGATTATGAGCGTAATTTAGAGTGGGGGGGGGGGGGGGGGGGGGGGGAGGGACTCTAAAAAGACAACATTTGTCCAGTTCTCTCATTCGACAACCAACACACTCAAGATCACAGTACAGAATCTAGAGTGCAGATTGTTCCACCATATGCAAGAACATGTTAGGAGAAGTGAAAATAAAAGCCACTTTAAAAATAGCATGAAGCCACAGGATCCCTAATTAAAACACTGGCATATGCATCCTTTGGGAAGGCCAGTCCTCTGTTTAAATGTCTTCCAATTGAACAGCTGCCCGTAGCTGCTCAAGGTAGAGGAATGAGATAAGAGAACAAGGAGTTGCCCAGGTGGTTCCTGCAAGACAGACCATGCAAGACACTCACTTGGTCACAATCTTCCCCCATATAGGGAAATTTGATTCCTATCACCATAATTATTTCTCAATAAGCATCCAGAAAGAAAAATGAACATGTGCCATTTTGTGTTCTTTTGCAAATAAGTATCTTCTTTTCCTCACATGGAGTAGAGGGTGGGGATGATGGAACAGCTGGAACAAGGAGGAAATGTTCTAAATCTCTTTCGTGTCTACCAACAGCAGCACAGCAGCTAACTATGATAGCCCAGAGATAGCTCCATACGGCAAGTCAGATGTGAGGCACTCTTGTGACTTGGATAACTTTCCACAGTTTAATCTATTGTGTGAAATTAGCCGATGGATTGTAAAAATCTGCTCTACATTATTTTTTTAAAATACTTGTGATGCTCCTAAACTGCCCATTATAGCTGTTTCCCTTCCAATTTTCTTTCTTCAACTGTCTGTAGCCTTTGACTGTTGATCATATTCAGTTTTTATTAGGCCTTTTTCTTACAATCTATTTCTCCCCTAGTACAATACTTCCTTTTTGGGGATGGTAATACAGATGGGCCCACAATTGGACCCAAAATTCCTGTTACTAAGTGAGACATCTGTTAAGTCTGTTTTGTCCCATTTTTACAACCGTTCTTGCCACAATTAAGTGAATCACTGCACTTATTAACCAATTCCGTTGTATTCATTTTGTACAATGACAATAAAGGCTATACTATAATATTTGTCTACAGAAGCCCTGGCACTTAGAACATTTAATAACTATTATTATACAGGGTAGGGATGAATTGTAGTCAACAAAATGGGCATTCTTGCATGTGAATGCATATAGGAACTTCAAAGCATTAACACTAAGCAACCTTTAAATACACTAGTGTTCACTCACATGCAGGAAGTGCCCCACTGTGTTTCATGTATGGCATTCCTCTGACGTGTGATTGATTAATTAATTAATTAATTCACGGTGTGAATGAAGAACGTTCCCCAACTCCTTCTCTCTTCCAACCACACAGTTTTCAGCCAACTAATTACCTTTGACCTGGTAAGCACCATCACTAAAATTGAGGTGGAAGACATCATAGATGGAACGGTTGGCATCCAACAAGTTGGAGTTGCGATGGTAGCAGACAAAGCCATGAGCCCCACGAAGCACTAGAATGGGTCGGTTGATCAACTTGAGAACAAATTCTTCATCTTTCCCTGTTGCAACAACTATAACTCAGTGCATTCTGAGGTGAATGAGACTACCATATAACCCTGAAGAGCTAGGAAATCTAAAAAAGGACATTTCACACAAAGGAATACAAGGTTGCTCCCTTAGAAATGTGGATATTTGGCAAACAGAAGGGAAGATTTAAAGTAGTTAGGGCTATGAAGTTGGAGCTCGTTTTATGGTCCTACTTCTGCAAGTTCCCTCTATCTGCCAAAATTCTAGAAATGTTGAAGAATCCTGCTTCTTTCCATGCTTGGGGATAATAGGATAATCTCTTAATTCTGAGGCTAAACAAATCTTGCTTTAGGATTATCTTGTAAGGTTAAAATTGTTTTCACATAAGGTAAAGGTAAAGCTTCCCCTCGCACATGTGTGCTAGTCATTCCCAACTCTAGGGGGTGGTGCTCATCTCCCATTCAAAGCTAGTGCTGTCCGAAGACGTCTCCGTGGTCATGGTGCCGGCATGACTAAACGGCGAAGGCGCACGGAACGCTGTTACCTTCCCACCTAAGGTGGTTCCTATTTTTATACTTGTATTTTTACATGCTTTCAAACTGCTAGGTTGGCCGAAGCTGTGACAAGTAACAGGAGCTCACTCCATTACATGACGCTAGGGATTCGAACCGCTGAATTGCCAACCTTCTGATCGACAAGCTCAGCATCTTAGCCACTGAGCCACCATGTCCCTAGTTTTCACATACAGTATGCATAACTATTTAC